ATTCATTGTATATACTTGATTTGAAATTTCTAGGTATTGATCTTTTTTCTCTATATCTTATGGATATTCTATGAACGTATTCAGGACGTTTGTTTCGGATATCTATGGTACATCCGCAATCGGATATCTTATGGATATACATTTTATGTCCACAGATATCCCACCTTGAAAAGGACTTGAAATGGATATCCACATTTTAATTTGTTTGTAACGTATTTTACCTTAATGTCATTAGTTTGAAACTGGACCAAAGATATTTTTATGGACGAATTTCCCTATTAACCTGACGAGTAAGTAACTTCACTTTTAATAATTTCCAAATTCATATTTAACAATTTCAAATTTCGATTTTATTATGATGTCTTTTTCAAATCAAAATTCATCAAAAAAGTAACAAGTCACCAATTTATTTTTTCAAATTTTTACTTTTTCAATATCAAACAAATTTCCAGAAAATTTTGCCAAAAAATTTTTTTCAAAATTTTTTAGAATTTCCAATTACAATTTTTCTCCAATAGCTAAAAGCAGATTACTTACTTACAGGTACGCACTCTGATGATGCCTTAAATGTCGAAAGCGCTCTGCTACGAATATTGTGAATAAATATCTTGCACGAAATACAAATCTTCCCTTTTTTGGTATATATCCACGTGCACAGGCACACAGCCCAGCAACCCTCACTGATTGAGAAATGTCTGAAAATTCATAATGTTGGCTTTGAACAGACGTTTGCATGTTTTATTCATAAATAGAACAATCATCCATTGATTTTCATTCAATATATTCACCTCCAAACAGTCAGTGGTCCATGGAAAGACAAAAAAATTGCCAAATGATCCCACTTCACTAAAAGATTAAGAACCACTGTTCTATAGATATATTCTATTTCACCTTGTATCTCACAAATAAAACATTCTACGACCTATGATATAGAAAAAATTCCATTAACTCGAAACTGAATTTCCTATGAGACATTTCACCACCCTGTATATTCGTTTCTCCTTCAAACGAACAAACATAGACATAAAATGGTAAAAAATGGGTCATGCTTTTTTGATGCCCGAAGAATCCGGAGTATTACAATTGGAAAACTGTAAATAACGATAAACTCCACGACGGGAACGCAATACGGTGATATTTTTCCTTTTTTCCATGGTTATATCTCTCGTGTGTAGGCCTGAGAAACTGTGCGGGAAGTTCTTTCATTATAGGTGGTGACAGTGGCGTAGCCAGGGGGGGCAGAAGCCTCCCCCCGAAATTCTAGTTAGCCCATTAGCGCCGTGCGTTGCCAAATGGCACCGCTAGTCAGGTGGAGATTCAAATAATTCCTAAGCACTCAAATTTTTGGCTATAAGGGTGAGAGACAGCCCACATGATTCGCAAAAGAACCGGTTATGCACATCTCGTCAGTTCTTTGTTGTGAGTAAGCTGGTTCGGCCATGTGAATTTATGAAACGTCAAGTTTATTTGAACTGACGTAAAACATGGACGACACGTTCGTGTACGTATCATTTTTTTTTCTCGCATTTGGTTTCGCCATTATTGTTTTCATAATAATGTTGCACATGCTTCATATTATATTTGTGACATATTGAAAAAAATTGCAGGAATGTTTTTTGTAGCTGGATTTTGACAATGGCAATGTGTTCAAAATCCAATGTAAGTATATGTGTTAATATCCCAAATTATGTATCGCGCCTAGTGTTGCCATATGGCAACAGCAGATTTCTGGAAAACCTGAATTCCATTTATGATTCTTCATACTTTCTTCGTCTTTCTAAAGCATTTCACACTAGCTAATGGCCATAAAATATCAGAATAAAAGGAAAAAATGATTCCGACGCTAATGGGTTGATGAGAAAGTAACCTAAGTGATTTTTGGATTCATGACAAATTTATATTCCTCATACAGGACGTGGAAAGAAATTCTTAATTGAGAAAAACCTAATAACGAATCTGCGATTGAAGGACTTTGAAAATAACAAATTTTAGCCATCAATTAATTAACACCCTGTTTAGGAAAACAAAGTTGCTTTTCAGACATTTTCCACAGGTTGTGAAAATTCATTACAAAAACTTGTAGAGGAAATATTGAAAATTAGAACATTATTGACACAATGAGATATTGGGAAAACCATGTTTTTCATGCAGAAAATTCAAATCGATATAACGATTTTGCGATTTCACTCAGGTTTGTTCTGTTATCATCTATTTTCCTTGTAGAAAAAAGTTATAAGGAAATCTCTGAGACACAAAATGGTATAGAATCGGATTCCTCATGATTTTCTTCGTTTTGTTTAACCTATTCGTCAAATAGAAAATATTAGTTCAATATCAACTAGGTTTTCAACTACAAAATAGGCACAAGGCTCAAAACTCGAAGTTATTTCCACACAATGTTCATAAGATGAACAACTATGGTAGATTTCGGGAAAAAAATAACTACTTTCCTGTCCAATTTCAAGCAGAACATTGAATAACATCCTTCCAAAATCTATGCATCGACTCGTATAAACGGATACTGACACGAGTGATTCTTTCCTGAATGCCTATTGGTTTCGATTTAGCTAGGCCACGCTAGACACCTACAGACCGGTTTCAAGCTCTTTGACTATCATCAGTGCAGGGCAGTCTCCAGCTAGCAGTCCTAAGACCGCCGACTAAGCGTAGCCTAGCTAAACGAAAATGAAGTCGCCATTATATTCCCTCAGAGGCCTCCTCCATAGACAATATGAAAGCAACGTCATCTGAGTAAAAAAGAAGGAAAGAAAAATGTTGAATCTGCAAAAATCTCAAAGTCATTTCGTTGTTGAAATTACGCCAGTCGTGCAACCAGCCACTCCCGTATGGGAATTTTGGTTTGGAGTGTTTCTTTATTTCTTTTCTACTCAGATGGCATTGATTCCATATCGTTTATGGAGGACGCCTCTGAAGGAATATAATGGCGACTTGATTTTCGTTTGGCTAGGCTAGAGTCCCTGTATATACCTCAGACAAGAGTCCGGACACAGCTATACTTCTGTCCTTTTCTATTTTCAAAAATAGTTATTTATTATACAAGGGACGCGTCGGGAGACAACACAACCTGGAGCTAAAATCTAATATTTTTCCCGTGTATAATACACTATTTTTTTCTGTGACAGAAGGAAGGACGAATCAATATTGAGGAGATATTACATTATTTTGATATCTGAAAATTATCGACGTGAAATTTTAAGTTTTTAACAGTAGGGACACCGCGTTGTAGGCATCTTTATCATTCATTTGAAGTAATCAAATATCTGATGTCACTTCTGTCAGTCTAATTTTGTGATTTTATTTCAAGAAATTGCGAATTCAGTGGTTATTCAGCAATATAGGTAACCGCGAAGTCGAATGGAAGATAAAAGGACTTGCAGTTCTTTCTCGGAGACGGTATTATTGACTCATTTTTCGGAACTATAGCACAACAAAAGCCATCAACAGTGTATGTATATGTGATATATATCCGGGAAAGAAGTACTCACTTTTTCCCACGGGAAAAAAGTAATTTATGAAAAGTGACATTTTATAACCTGCCAACAGGGATGAAATGCCAAACTTTTTTCCCGTCACAGAAAAGATGCATTGATGATTGAATAAAGGAATGAGACATATATATCGAGCTCTGTCTTTTCAATTTCCCTAGTATCAATGTTTGTCAGAAACAATTTTGAGGGTTAGATTATTTGTCAAAACGTTCATAGCCGTAGGTAGAAGTGAGAAATAGGGCTATTTTAACTGGAATAACTATTAGATTTTCAAATAATGAACAGCAGGGTGTTCAAATTTCGAATCGATAATTTTCATAATCAATTCCTGAGATGACTAATGCAAATTTTCGTCATCAGATATTTCTTCATTTCATTAGATATAAGCATCGTGGATATAAGAAAGATAATTTAAGTGTTCTACGTGGTATCACATATAGCCAAGAAAATATAGTTGTTTTCTGTTGGGATATAAAAAAATAAAAGATATATAATTGTTTCAATATAATTTTCTCCGATTCTCACAATTCAATAACACTCATCAGAAATAAAAGTGACAAAATCAAACCAAATCTTCTTTTGAACGTCTCTATTTTATAAATTGACGGCACAGCAGACTCTTTCAATTTGAAATCCATCAGCTTGAAAAAATCTCTATCAAAATGGGCCTAAAATTCATATTTCTTGTACTGTTTTTGAATTGAATTTGAATATTTACCTCACATATTGCGGATTTCTTGAAATTAATTTTCCATTCTGGACGTTTCATTGCATTCTTTCAAGACATTATCTTCAAAGGATAATTCGGAAAATCCCTTTTCTAATGAATTATCGCAATAATGTACGCAGCAGGACATTGAAATAATTTAAAATGCAAAATTTTGGCGGTCATAAAATTTCAAAGTGACAGTGACAGAAATTCGAAATAATTAAAAAAGCGGGCGGGACGACTATGGTGTTTCGTCACATTGTCAGGCGAGCAAACCAAATGAAACAAGATATTAAAAACCCCAACGGCTGTCAGTTTTGTGTCCGGACTCTTGTCTAAGGTATATACAGGGACTCTAGACTAGGCTACGCTCAGTCCGCAGTCTTAGGACTTCTGGCTGGAGACTGCCCTGCACTGATGAGAGTCAAAGAACTCGAAATCGATCTGTAGGTGTCTAGCGTGGCCTGGCTAAATCGAAATCAATAGGCATTTAGGAAAGAATCACTTGTATCAGTATTCGTTTATACGAGTCGATGTATAGATTTCGGGAGGATGCAATTCAATGTTCTGCGTGGCATTATCCAGGGAAGTAGTTATTTTTGTTTATCGAAATCTACCATTGTTGTTCATTTTATGAAGATTCTATGGAAATGACTTCGAGCTTTTTGTGTTTATTTTACTAGGTGTTTGATTCAAGTGAAATCATAGAAATTGCTGTCGCCTGGTTCATGAATTTCAGTGCGATACTGTACAACAAATTTGAATATTTTTTTCTTTTGCAGTTAGATTCAGCGCCTCAATGGCAGTTCATTAGTGATAGCGCCAAAGATTTAGTGCAACAAATGTTGAACGTGGACCCAAAACAAAGGATCACCATACAGGAAATTTTGAATCATCGATGGCTGAGGGTAAGTATCCATCACTTTGAATGAATCATATTCTGGTTTCGACAAAATTCCGGGTTGTTTGACCACCCGATATTCCATGTCACTCTTAGATGCTCATTGTTTTAGAAGAATCAGAATAGTAGGACAGCCTGCTTCAAATTTCGACCGTAATTCAATAAAGAAACATTGTAGATTGTACCGACTTTCGTACAACTTTCGTACAAAAAAAACTGATTTTTTCTGCAACCGACACAAAAGTCGTCCATTTTGATATCAAAACTAGCTCTTAAATTGACGTTTCTATTACTGACCCAAAAATAGGTATGTTGCTAGGCAACATATTTAGTTCCTAGGAGCTAAAGTTGAATTTAAGTTCCTAGGAGCTAAAGTTGAACTTTAACTCCTAGGAACTAAAAAGGTTCTACTGGACGTCATCAAGAATAAACAACATTGTGACGGTTGGTTATTTGGGTTGAGACACATACCTGATTTGTTTCCGATTTCAGCAGATTTGGCATTTCATACCCATGCTGGAGATATAAATACACCTTATTATAGTTCAGTATTGGAATTATAAACATCTCAGTTCAGTATTTTTGTATTGATCAGGGAAGCCTTCAAGATTCGAATACTTGCTTGATCTGTATTTTATTCGTTATTCTCGGGATGGATAACTTGTTTTTGGATAATCACAGCAAGCAATAGTTTTTTGTCTCAAACAACGATATTGTTAACCTTCATTTGATTATCAAGTGACAAACATTGTATTACCGAGAGGAAAAAATAATTGCTATTCTTATTGTTGATGTGCTCACTAACCTAACATTTTCAAAGTCTTGTTTCTATAGCTGGCACTGACGCGGTATTTGCCATTATATCACCTGGTCCATACACAAATATGTCACTCTGTGATTGTATTTATATTGGAACTACAATTCGAACATCCTTGAAAATTGAATGAACCTGCTGTTGATGCAGGTAGAATGTTCTCACCACACGGATTATTTTTCAATATTTGTTGCATTGCATACATATGGCACGGTATTGGTGGTAACTTCACATATTTATTTGAGTTATTTGTTTCGGTTGCAGAAAAAATAGCATGTTTCATTCGGATCAAAAGTGACTTTGTTCGACTCGCAAATTTTGCTTTCGCTCAGCTTCGCTAAACGCTCCGCCTCGCAAATGCAAAATTCGCTTGTCAAACAAAGTGTCACTTTTGATCCTAATAAAACAATCTACTATTTGTAAGCCATTAAAAAACGAACGAAACCAATTTCAACATCCTGTATCTCCGAAACGAATCATCTCCGGACACAAAAGTATAAATACACGTTTTTTTTCTTTGGATTGGCTGAGGAATACGTCATTTGAATATACCTACGAAATCAGAAAGAAACACTTTTTCAAGATATGCAATGAAATAAGTAAATATAGGGTGTTCCAAATAAAAGAGCATCTGATTCGAGAATTTATTCCGAAGTTCCCAATATCTATTAGATTTCGAGATAGCGAATGCTGAAATCCTGAAATCTATAGTCAATCACCCACCTACCTCAACAACTATAACAGCATCGGAAGTGATTTATTGTTATCTACTCACTGCATACATATACAGGGTGAGTCATTGAAATGGGAAAGTGAGATAACGACTTCGCTGTTTGAGATAGATGAATACAAATTTTTGTGATGGTTTAGGCTCATAAGGACCATATTTCTAAATTACTTTGCGTTTACAGGGTGACTCGAATATGCGTGGCGTATCAAAGTTATACTTTTATTATAGGACTGCCTGTATTTTATTGTATTTTCAGATTCTTCTTTGTGAGCTGATTCCATCAATGCATCACACTCCGGGATCTAGCGGAAATGATTACAGAGATATTGGGTGTTCAAAATCGAGATTTTTTAACTTTAGGATTTTTTTGTTCCGAAACTATCAATTATTGGTCTAAACGGCTCACATGTCTCCATCTTAACTTTCGATGCACTATCTACTGATGTTTAATTTGGACGAATACAGGGTAGTTCAAAATTCAGAATTATGAACCACCCTACCCTGTATTTGTTCAAATCAAATATCAGTAGATAGTAAATCAAAAGTTGAGATAGGGACATGTGAACCGTTTTGACCAACAATGAATAGTTTCGACCCAAAAAAACCTAAAGTTGAACAATCTCGATTTTGAATACCCTGTATCTCTGTAATCATTCTCGCTAGAGCCCAAATGTGATGCATTGATGAAATCAGCTCACAAAGGAGAATTTGAAAATGTAATGAAATACAGGGTGTCCCATAAGAAAATGTATAACTTTGATACTTCACGCATTTTGAGTCACCCTGTATTTGGAAATGTGCTGCTCATGAGCCTAGACCATCACAAAAATGTTTGTTCATCTATCTTAAACAGCGAAGCCGTTATCTCACTTTCTCATTTCAATAACTCACCCTGTATAACCAGCTTTCTTGGTAGAGATATACGTATAAGATCTGTGCTACCCAAGTACCTAGTCAGGGTCTCCATCACTATCTGCTATAAAACAAATAAAAATCTCCTTTTCAAACTACAATGATCTCCTAAAGGAAAAATACGAAAAACCCAAAGTCGGTGTATTTTTCCTTTGAAAAATTCTGGACCACTTTGAGAAAATAGATAGTTTCCACGACTTTACAATGATCTCATACACTTCCTCATATTCCAAACCTACTCAATCGAATGAAATGCAATTACCCAATAAACAAATTCAATGTGACAGAAGTGTCAAAATTGATTTTCGTTTGATTCAGATCTGCCAATTGTAACCTTAGATCATGTAACACATCGATTTGGATCGAGACTCGATAGATAGACCGCTTGAAGCACATTCCTAAGGACGACGTTCTCAAATATACGCGTTCGTGGATGAAATCTTGAATATATTTTGGGAGCAAAGGTCCATTTCCTCCCATGTGTGTCTAATGCCCTTCAAACTCCACACCCGGGAGGAAATGGATACCTTTACTCCCTTGATATATAAATAACTATTCGATGAAACGAGAAGGAATTTGCTCCAGCCAACTGTCTGACTTAACGTAACTGAAGAAATGTTCCTCTCCTCGTGATTGTCTTTGGTTTTTTTTTGTTCGTGACTATACTCAGTGTCTACATCTTGTGATAACAATCTCCCGACTTTCAATTAACGAAAATTGGATCCGGGAATCTCCGGACTAATGTTCCTTGTTCCCGCACGCTTAATCGAATCATTCAATTATCGTCTTTCGCTCCAGGATCGAGACAAGGGACTGCGGATCCATTTGGGTGACACCATAGAGGAATTGAAAAAGTTCAATGCCCGAAGGAAATTGAAAAGCTGCATACTGGCGGCTGTCAACTCTTGCAAATGGTATCCCTATGACGACACCAATGCCGATACCTTTTCGGATTTCGGGGATGATGAGGTGTCCTCTTGCGGTGAGTCTGTTTGTTTCCATAATTCACATGTTATATTAGAATGGGGCATTGGGGCTCTCCATGTAGTGGTCTCTACATGTAGTGGTCGACGGAGTTTCATCTGACTCTCTTATCATAAATGCTGGTGTTCCGCAAGGATCAACTCTAGCACCAACACTATTTCTACTCCATATCAACGATTTGTTGGAAGCAAATTCATGTCCAGTACACAGCTTCGCGGATGGTAGTACCCTCCATACCGCCTTCTCTTCCACGGCTCCAATACCAGCCAGGCAAATCGGACCCCAATAAACTTAGCAGAACCACTTCAATATTTCGGATTTGCAATAGTACTATAATTTGTTACTAATTTAGTACTAATTTATTATCATATTCGCAAATTTATTACTTTTCATTGAACAGAAAAAACCAACGGCTCTGCTAGCTTTATGTCAACCTAGCAGAACCATAGCTGAAAATTTAATATTCTGAAAATTTAAAATATACCATAATTTATAACTATTTTATTACTAACTTATAACTATAATCACGAATTTTTAACTCATCATTTCAAGGAAAACAACGACGATTTGACTATCTCGATATCAACCTAGCAGAACCAAAACTCGATTTAAATTTTTTTTTGAAATTCTGTTGTATCATCGATAAGTTACTAATTTATTACTGATTTATTACCACATTCGCAAATTTCTAACACTTCATTCAACAAGGAAAACCAACGGCTCTGCTAGCTTTCTGTCAACCTAGCAGAGCCATAGCTAAACAATTATTCTTCTGAAAACTTCAAATATACCATAATGCATTACTATTTCATTACTAACTTATAACTATAATCACGAATTTTTTACCAATCATTTCATTTAAAAAAAACGCCGATTTGTCTATCTCGATCGTTGACAGAAAGCTAGCAGAGTCGTTGGTTTTCCTTCTTGAATGAAGTGTTAGAAATTTGCGAATGTGGTAATAAATTAGTAATCAATTAGTAACTTATCAATGATACAGCAGAATTTCAAAAAACATGTGATTTGAGTTTTGGTTCTGCTAGGTTGAGATCGAGATAGCCAAATCGTCGTTTTTTTCCTTGAAATGATGAGTAAAAAAAAATCGTGATTATAGTTATGAGTTAGTAATAGAATAGAAATAAGTTATGGTATATTTGAAGATTTCAAAACAATAATTGTTTAGCTATGGCTCTGCTAGGTTGACAGCAAGCTAGCAGAGCCGTTGGTTTTCCCTGTTGAATGAAGTGTTAGAAATTTGCGAATGTTGTGATAAATTAGTAATAAATTAGTAACTTATCGATGATACAACAGAATTTCAAAAAACATGTGATTTGAGTTTTGGTTCTGCTAGGTTGAGATCCAGATAGCCAAATCGTCGTTTTTTTCCATGAAATGATGAGTAAAAAATTCGTGAATATAGTTATAAGTACGATAAAATAGTTATAAATTATAGTATATTTTAAATTTTCAAAATATTGAATTTTCAGCTATGGTTCTGCTAGGTTGACATAAAGCTAGCAGAGCCGTTGGTTTTTTCTGTTTAATGAAGAGTAATAAATTTGCGAATATGATAATAAATTAGTACTAAATTAGTAACAAATTATAGTACTATTGCAAGTCCGAAATATTGAAGTGGTTCTGCTAAGTTTATTGGGGTGCAAATCGGAAATGAACGAGGGAGAAATGTTGACAACATAAATATGGACTTGGCAACAATTCCCGAATGGGGATCCAATAACTTGGTAGAATTCAATGCAAACAAAACACAAGCATGCCTTTTATCTAGAAAATCCGATCTCACTGTGCCCAACATAAGCTTATCAGGAGTAACCATACCTTTATTGAAGACATCCATTTCGATGCTTGGTATTACTATCAGAAATAACCTTTCGTGGGAAAATCACGTGAGATCAATTGCTAAAAGTGCATCTCAAAAACTTGGTTTTCTGTGTCGGGTCAGGAGCTATTTCACTTCCAGTCAGCTGCTTATCATTTATAAGGCACAGATCCGACCTGTCCTGGAACACTGTTCCCATATTTGGAGTGCAGCACCCAAACATACCCTGAAACTGTTGGATTTTGTCCAAAAAAGGGCAATTCGTCTCGTGGGCGATGCATTGCTCACAAACTCACTCATTTCTCTGGAACACCGTAGAAAAGTTGGCGATCTGGCTCTGTTTTATAGATATTTGCATGGACGATGTTCTTCTGAAATATCAACAATTGTTACTCCTTTTGGCAGTCCAATTTCTACCTTATTTTCCTTGGTTCTCACGATGTTCTCTGAACATTACAGGATATCCCTTTTCGTGGGAACCAGAACATAAAAAAAAACAGATTGAAAGCTATACCGTCCTCTCCTGTATAATGTTTTGTAGGTGTCGATTCCATGTTAGCTTATGGTCGAAAATGACTCCTTTGTATTTTTCCTCTCGAGCAAACGAAATTTGTTTCGATAATACGCTACCCTGCAAAACATTCTGTGCCTCTTATATGCGTTTTATACAGAGGTTCTTAATAACATGCTAATATTGTGTAATTTAGGACGATGGCAAAACAAACTTGCAACACCAGGTCATCTCTAATGTTTTTCCTAGGGCCGAATTAATCGACTTTCTCTATTGATGCAGGTATTTATGATTTGTTTCAGCTGTTTCAACAATCCTTGATTCCCTAGATGACATATACTGCCTTCAAGACGAAGCTCAACCTCAAGAAAAGGCACACCTTCTAGCCCTGTTGGAAGATACACGCCTTCATGTGTTATTGGAGGTACGAAAATTTCTTTCCGTTTCTATTTGCTTCAATGTTATTATTTATTTTTTCTACTCACATAATTATCTGAAGTGGCATCTAGTGTACGGATATGTACAACGCTAAATGATCGATTAATCACAGATTGACTTGAAATACTCTTTACTGAATAGGCGTTTATCACACTTATTACATAGTATACTATTTCTGGGGAGTATCGATATTTCTTCACTAAGCAAATTAATACACTCAGTTCCAAAAAAAGTGACGCACTTGATATTTGACCTATCTTCTTGAAAAAAATAATAGTAGGCCGATTTTTATTTTTTCATTTGTTGGTAGGTGATGCATTTGTCTTAAAAAAAAAATAAAGAACTGAAAAACTTTTCAAATCCTCCTTGAAGATGGTGAAATAACTCGAACCATGATTTATTCTTAATTTTTGACTCACCCTGTGTGTTAATTGAGTAATGGTATACAAAGTGCTTACACCCTATACGAAAGAGGCTCCTTTTGCGAGCATTTTGTTTTTTTATTCATTGATTTATCTCTAAAATTTTCCGAATTACAGCTTTTTTGCTGATACCTTACGCTTATCCCACAAAATAAATTTATTGAAGGATCAGAGTACTCAAAATTGATTGGGTTGTACTCTGGTAGGATCATATTGTCTTCAAAAAAACAAATGCCGTTGCCATAGCAACTAATTTGTTGTATGCCTCCATATTTGACCATTTGTCGTTGTGTCATTAATTAAGTATCTTGTTTTATTGACTGAAATTACATAAAATGCCTCAAATAAATCCTAAACAAGTAGCAAGATTAGTTGCGTTAGTAAACGATGGGCGTAGTAAACGTTTCGCCGCTCGTGCAGTGGGAGTTCATGAAGCAACTGCTCGTAGAGCAATCCGCAAGTACGATCAAACAGGAAGCACCGCTCGGAGGGTCGGTTCTGGTCGCCCCCGAAAAACTTCTCCAAGAGATGATCGCTTCTTGAGATTGCGGATTTTACGGAATCGATCAAATACTGCGGTAAATGTTCAGCAAGATGTCTTATCTCATGCAGAGTTAGTGGGCAATAATTTTATATTGATGCAGGATAATGCCCGACCACACACCGCAGCAATAGTGCGAAACTTCTTAAAAGCTACTGGTATTACCATATCACAATGGCCTGCGAGAAGCCTCGATATGAATCCCATAGAACATTTGTGGGATGAATTAGGGAGAAGGGTACGTTCTCGCGAGAGGTCTCCGGAAAGTCTCGCAGAAATGGCAGATGCATTAGTGGAAGAATGGGATCGTATACCAATGGAAACGATGAGCAACTTAATTTCCAGTATGCCTCGTAGATTAGAAGTTCTTAGAGTTGCTAGAGGAGGCAATACACGGTATTAAACAGTCATCCCAATTTATAATTTTATGTTTAATGAAAATGTTTTTTGAAATTATTGGTATCAGTTTATTTCATTAGAAAATTGGTTCTCGATAAATTCAAAAAGTTGGTAATCTGCAAGGATTCAGCAAAAAAGCTGTAATTCGGAAAATTTTAGAGATAAATCAATGAATAAAAAAAATGCTCGCAAAAGAAGACTCTTTCGTATAGGGTGCAAGAACTTTCTACGCCAAGACTCAATTAACACACAGGGTGAGTCAAAAATTAAGAATGAATGATGGTTCGAGTTATTCCACCACCATCAAGGAGGCTTTGAAAAAATTTTCACCTCCCTCTTTATTTTTTTCAAAGACAAATGCATTACCTACCAACAAATAAAAAAAATAAAAATCGGCATACTATTTTTTTTTTCAAAGAAGATAGGTCAAATATCAAGTGCGTCACTTTTTTGGAACTGAGTGTATTTCAACAATGCTCTGCCATAGTATTCCAATGCAATTTCTAATGTTGCATTAACGATTGTTAACGAAGGTTATGCATGATGATGAATTGTATGCTACTGTATTGCAGTAAGGTTACTGGTAACATTGAAAAATGTACAAGAAGATCACATATTTGATGTTATGAATCATACATATCAGCAGTTTTCCAATAATCATGTCAACTATTCCATAGTTTATATGTCAATGCAGTATCAAAGTTCATGCAACATTGCAATTGGTAAATTTACTGATAGTTCCATATTATGTAAACGTGCACTGATATTGTTTGTAAATATTCTGTGTACTACTACAATTTCAAGAAACATGAATGCACGGCCGGGCGTAAAGTAGCACTCTATCAGCCTGTTTAGCCGGCGTGAAGTGGCACTTTACCGCCCGCGAACTACTTTACCGCCCAGCGTTTAGATATCTCTTATTAGGCATTCCTGTACAATTCAGGACATTTATATTCCAGTTGTGATGGTTTCTTATCTAATATACAGGGTGTTTCATGAGAAGACTCACATAGCCAAATGGTTAATAGGAGAAATCAAGACGAGTTGATGTATGTATATGAAAACATTTTTAGACCCTCCATAACGAAGATACAGGGTATTATGTGAAATTGGTATATAACTTTGATGGTCGATATTACAGAAATGATTTGTCGTAATCTGCTGAAATTTGGCAGCGACGTATCTCTACTGAAACTATTCAAGATAACATATTATGAAAAAAATATCCAGGTCCGGACTTGGGAAAATTTTATGTTTCATTGTTATGTCAAAAAAGTTCACTTTGTGACCACTTTTCTCAAAAAATTCCATCAGATTCAGAAAGATCAGACAAAATGCTATAAGAACTGCTCTTCAATTTACACGGCACACTCTGACCGGTTCAACAAAAAAATATGGAACAAAAACGTACGAATGAATTCTCAATTTCGACCTGGCTGATAACTCTCAACTTCCAACTGGATTCGTGTAAATTGATTTTTTGTACATTTTTATTGGATAGAAATTGACAGAAGAGATAAGTTCTGATTTTTTTATGATTTAACATGTTAGTTTTTGACCGAACTTCTAGATAGATATGATTGCTCGTGACTCTATTTTATAAATTTATTATAAAGTGGGCCCTGTTTTTATTTTATGTAACGTGACGTTTGTTGATAGGTAAACACTCGTAATCGAAATATTCCTACACTCTAGGTGCCACTTCTATTCCAAATGCTGAACAAGACGAAAATCTAAATGCTATGCTATATATGTTTGATACCATAGAATATTTCCAGACCCAAGAATACGTTGCAGTAAAACCTTCACGAGGATGAACATTAGGAATTTTGAATAAGTAGCAAATGCAAATCCTTATATCACTTGCAGAAGTGTATCAATAACAAAAAATGGAGCTAAGTTTATGCGTGATGGCATAACTAATTTGATGAATCACCATAATATGGGCACATGAATCCTCAAGTCGTAATTTCATCAGTTGGTACCTACCTAGTACTAGTCTAGTACCTACCTATCAGTTCGGATTATCAACAAACGTCACGTCTCGTCACACAAATGAAAAACAGCCTACTCGATATCTCACTTCAAGCGACACCCATAGAACAAAGTCAGGAATAATAATATCTATCTGGAATTTCGGTAAAAAATATCGTGTTTTTTCTTCCCGTCTATCTTTCTGTCAATTACTATTCAACAAAAATGTCGAAAAAACAATTCACATGATACCAGTTGAAAGTTGACAGTTATCAGCCAGGTCGAAATTTAAAATTCATTCTAACGATTTTGTTCCATATTCTTTTATTGAACCGGTCAAAGTGTGCCGTGTAAATTGAAGAGCAGTTCCCATAGAATTTTGTCTGATCTCTCTGAATCTGATGGAGTTTTTCGAGAAAAGTGGTCATAAAGTGAACTTTTTTGACATAACAAGGAAACATAAAATTTTCTCAAGTCCGGACCTGGATATTTTTTCTTATAATATGTTATCTTGAATAGTTTCAGTAGTGATACGTCGCTGCCAAATTTCAGCAGATTACGACGAATCATTTCGGTAATATCGACGATCAAAGTTATAAAGCAATTTCACATAATACCCTGTATCTTCGTTATGGAGGGTCAAAGAATGTTTTCATATATATACATCAACTCCTCTTGATTTCCCCTATTAACCATTCGGCTATGTGAGTCTTCTCATGAAACACCCTGTATATTACAGTTCTCGTGATATTCCTGATGAGTTGCAAAAGTATATGATCGAACCCAAAATAAGTTATGTATGATGACAATAATTGACAGCAAATATAATACTTTACTGCTAATTCAAAAAATTGACTGAGTTACCATGGTAACATGGTAACGTTGTTTCCATTAATGATATTCCTTACTGGAGCCATAATGTGTTTCTACCGTTCTGGAGAAGTCGTGCATACAATTATTAAAAGCTCCCACTATCGCTTGAACTCTAATTTACATGGTATATGTACGGTCCATAAAAGCCTATTTTACGCCCTTGATACATATTACGGTTGATGAAATATTGCTATTGTATCTAAAATGGATAGTTCACCTTGTTGAACGATTCCGCACTAGTATTTCCTGTCATCCTGTCATATTGTTGACTCGAATCGGCAGCAAAATTTATTCAATATTTTATCTCCATTCCAATATTAGGTTTCATGATCGATTACACTAGTCAGAACACCAATTTATTTACCCATATAATGACGAGGGTCGTGAAACAAGCGAGCTTCTTCAGCTTGTCGCTAATTTTAAATCAATTACATCCGTTTCCATCCCTTGGACGCCTATCGGGTTAGTGGTGGTGAAATGATTCGGTGGTTGACTTTTTTGTTCATCCTCATGGGATCATAATGGGCAGTCGACATTTTTTTCTTTTTTCATTAGGGTGTATTAATGTCACCAGGTGTTCGAAAAATATGCAATTTGAAAGAATCACGAGTTATAAGTTGTAAAATCCCAAATAACTGCAAGTTATAAACAGTCATTATATCTTCAAGTGATTTGAAATTCCAGATCTCACAATTTACAGTAGTTTGAAAGTTGGCAACATATACGGGGGGGTGTCGGGAAATTGTGAAACTTCAACGATGGGTTTAGGTCATCAAGTTGGAACTGAAAATACCACATTTCAGGGTCTCACAAGTGTTTTATCGATTTGGCGATTTTTTTTGGTGAGATACATAACTTAGGAACCACCCAATCTTTTTTTTTTGAAATTTGGTACACAAGTTATAATTCTTACATCCAAGATTAGTCACATGAAAAATCCAGGACCGGACCATATTTCTCTACCCAAAAAAAAACACCCTATATTTTCGAATATCCAAAATCTGCTTACATATTTGAGAAGTGCATGAAAAGCTGGACCCAAGTATATACTGTATATTTTTTCGCATGCTTTTTCACTAATGAATTTCTCATTTCGAATTCAAGATTTTATGTATGTGGATAGGTGAATGTTTTGAATATTCTTGATAGAATAAAGAAATGTCCGCAATTTGTATCGATATCCTATTGAACAATCGTGGTGATTTCGAAGTCTACGATCGATTTCACCAAACCGACGATAAGAACCGCGAACTGAGATAACACATCTTCAAACACTGTAACTCGGGGTTATACACTGACCGGCAAAGAAAAAACCGGCCACCAAAAAATGAATTTTCATGAAATGGATATTGTAATTTGAAGCTTCAACGAACACTTGAAATGTCGTCTCGTCTTTGAACAACTCGAATAAATGCTAACCATCATCCTTAGAATTGTCGCAATTTGTTATCAAACAAGATTCGAGATCATTTTCGCGGGGACGCCGATTCAATTGTTTAGAACTGACATTTCGAATATGAGAATGATGAAAATTCGGTAATGCAAGTAGTGCCAAGCGTGTCCGCACTCTTCAAAGGGCGTGAAATACGATGTTTGATGTAACTGATGAACTAATGAACTCAATATAAACACCTGAAAGGGACCCTTTCTGTATTTCCTTATATGTTTATGGGAAAGTCATGGAAGTATTTAACTTTGACAAATAATATAGGTTTAGTTTTTGAACATATTCTGAGACTGGGAACATTGTACACCTAACTGATGATTATTTCAAGATGAACAATACTCAACTAACCCATGGAATGGCAATTTCCTTTTGTCTAGCTCGTTCGTTTCGACACAATAAATCACCATTGTTTATCAATATGAAATCACAAACCTTCTCAATAATCAGTTCACAGTGTTCACACTAACAAATTCAGTCCTTTTGATGAAACAAAACACGCCAAATGAAGAGATATTTCACATAACCAAAGACAATGAACTTATGTCTACACTTTCTTGCCTGTTTAGATGAGAGAAAAATCTAAAGTGCTTTAATTGTTAGATAAAAGAAATCATAAACACCAATCCATCATTAAACAACACGAGTAGGAAAGAGACAGGTTACCGTAAAACATCTTTGTTACAGCTGCCCCTGACACACTTTGTGCTATTCGAGAGAACGACCTTCTTCCTTCCAGGTGTTTATATTGAGTTCGTTGCTGGCAGGTCATCGCTCGTAGATCTCGAGCTAGCCTTGAAAACGACCATTTCCGGTACTGTTGACCTTCAATTGTCCTTTGAAGGTTTTTATGAGAAAAGTGACCAATGTGTTGCAGAACCGGCATAGTTCATCTACTGACTCATTCGTGAAAATTTCGATTCTTGCAGCTGTTCGACCGCATCTCTAGTCGTATGTCGACGCCGGTGCGTGCTCCAACAATCGACGCCGTTCAGAGCGCTCGCGACGCCGCCGACGCATTGCGCGAGCTCGAGCACCGTCGCGACGCTGATCGCAGGGAGCTGCAGGAGCTGCGGGATCTTTTGTGCCGGCCGCACTTCAAGGTACAGATTTTTTTTCATGTTTTTCATCGATCAATGAGGAAGTTTCCGTCTAATCAATTTTTATGACAATAGGCAAGAACACTCACTTCACAGTGCATTTTTATTCATTTTTTTATTTTCTCTACACCTTTTCCAGATTTATTTCAGGAAGCGTCAATCCAATTTCAGAAAGCGTCAATTGTATTTCAGAATAGTCAATTTCATTTCAGAAAGCATAAATTTTATTTCAGAATAGTCAATTCAATTTCAGAAAGCATCAACTGTATTTCAGAATAGTCACTTGTATTTCAGAAAGCATCAATTGTATTTCAGAATAGTCAATTCAATTTCAGAAAGCGTCTGAATCTTGAAGCACCCTGTCTTTTTCCAATTAAATTCCAGTGAATAGTGAATCAAAAGTTAAGATGTGAACATGTAAGCCGTTCTGATCGATAATTAATAGTTTCGACAAAAAAAAATCCTAAACTAGAAAAATCTCGATTTTGAACTCCCTATATCTCTGTAATCATTCCCGCAAGACCCCAAGTGTGATGTATTGATGAAATCAGCTCTTCAGGAAGAACATAAAAATGCAATAAAATACAGGGTGCTCTATATAAAATAACGAAGTTGCTAGTTGTTTCTGATAGAAGTGGCAACACTTTATCGATGAAGATATTCCTTCAGACGGATAGAGAATGTTCAATTAGCGAAGCATTTCAATTTTCAGAATGTTCTGTCTTTTCGTTCTCCAGATATTTCCAATATTTCATCCACCGTGGATCATCCTGTATAATCAATATTCCTCCAGGACAGTTTTCTTCACTTGGCCCAATCTTTTATCGAACAGTAAACCTCTACTCCGTATATTACAGTACAGTTCGATAGTTAGTTTGAGTTCATACACTCAGATGGCCCCACATAACCCTGTTTCTCTAAACGGTTTACAGTTTCCTCTTGTTCTTGTACCGTGGCGACATCAGACGGGCGATAACTGAACTTCCCTCTACCCGTGATTTCGATCAATATCCCAAATAGCTTCGTCAGATGCTGCGGCTGAAGCTGAAAGCAGAACAGTTTTTTCAAGGTGTGACGTTATGATTCATCTGGAAAAAGTTGTGAAGTATGCTAAATGGAAGTCAGTGGCGTCCTAGGTTTATTCTAGTGGTTGGGGAAAGGCAGTGTATGGTTTATTGTTATCGACGGAAAACTGGAAAACAGCGCTGATGTCGGATGAAATCAGTTTTTAATCAACTTTAAATGCTTCCTCATTGAATGTTGTAATTTTTCTGTCGGGAAATGATCGATCTATCCTACCATTTAAAGTCCAAACTATGTGACTACTTCACTTGATGTCCTTGATGAACGAATAGTTGTTCCATGATAAATGATTATAACATGAAGTTACCATACGGATAACAGCGTTATTTGTTTTTTGAGTTTTCTGGGCTAAAAAAAAAACACATTCTGAAAATTGAGGTTCATTTGGTATCGAAAAATTACTGAAAAAACAACAAAATATACGAAACATGAATCACAAAAGTTCTTGTAGTTAATGATATATACAGTGTGACCCACTTCTAATGGAAACACCCAATGTATCTTACGTAATCGTTGGGTGAGGATCCTGAAATTTCCTGGAGCGAGAGATATACCAAAAATGCACTCTATGACCAGGTGGGGTCCTCTTCAGTGATATACACTGCTCCCCAACAGCCATGGAACCACCTCGATTTCCGGAAAATGATATTAGGAGTCAAAATAGGTTGAAAATCACTTCGGATTCGGAATCAGGGGTGTTTCCATTAGAAGTGGGTCACACTGTATATACGAGTTTGATCGATGTAGTGCCTTCTAAATTTTCAATTTGGCTCCACTATGCAGACTTTTGCCATACTAACCTAAACGCATTCTACGCTACTGGATGAGATGTAATTGCGTGACGCTGGCTGCATTGCAGAATGTTCTTTGGAATTTATCGCGGTCATTTATAAAAAAGTCGTTACTGCTAAGGCCATATTTCAAACATCTGAAAAATTAATTGGAATGTTACAGACTCAAAATTTATTACGTAACATACCAAGACCTATGAATCAAATTCATTGTTTAGCATTGCGTAATTCAAAACATATTTTTCTCCGAATGCCATTAAGAGTGGCTATTCTTTGACACTCAAAAGGCAGAAAAGGTCTACTTCCTCTGCCTAGGCACAAAAAGTTTGTTGCTATGTTTTGACCGATAATGAATAGTTTCGACACAATCCTAAAGTTGGGAAATCAGCTCTTCCGGATGAACCTGAAAATGGATTACAGCATGTCCCGTTTGGAATATCAAATATGATACTACTTTCTGGTATAAGCGATAACGCTGCATTGCTGAAAATATTTTTCGATCGATTGACCAAGAGCAACTACTTGAGTAACCAAATTTTCAAAATGGTTCTATGTTCCGTTCTCCGTAAACGTCTAAGATGCCATCAACCCTGACCCATCCTGGATATATACAGGGTGTTTCCTAATTGAATCATTTTGAGAAGAAACTGACATAAACGTTTTGAGATACAGGGTGGAGAAGTTCTCTAAAATAAATAGTCGTTGTATTTATATCTGTAATACCACTTGATTTGAACTCTTGAATTGTTTCAGTTGGAATCATGGTTTTCACCTAAAAAATAAAATATATTTCTCTGCATTGTGATAGGTTGAAGCACGTTGTAGGTTCGATCAGCATCGACGAAATTTGGTCTACTGCTCAATCATTCGTTCAAACATAGGTTTATAAAACACTAACTAACTAAGTTCTAACTGAACTATTTTGGTATACTTTTTAATGAACCTCAAATTCTGGTGATTTCACTTTAATCTATATGCCATAACATGCCACAATCCAGTGTATAGGAAAACAAGAACAAGTGAGTTCTAAACTGTCTTGCTCAGTTCATTCATGATTTTGCTGAAATCAGTTGAAACTTGAGAGCGATAAATGTTATAATATCCAAACAAGTGAAGAATCGGTTGAAACGGCAACGCTGTTCATCTAACCGAATAGTGAATTATCGTTTTCTTCCCGACTACCAATAGACGATCGAAGCGTTAAAAAACTTGTGACGTCAGTACCGCTGACGATTTTCCGTCATGTTCTAACATAAGCTTGTCTTTGGGGAATTTATTTCGAGAAATCTAGAAGGTATAAAGAGTTTGAAAAAATCTCTATGTATTTTTTCATCGTGATGAATGTCAAAGTATTTCACTTCAAAGGAAACTTCAAACACGCTGACGCCGCACAGTGCGGGATATTCTGCAATTGATATTGAATATAGGTACTATACCTATCCAAATTGACATTCTTATTCTCTAGCAAATGATTGCACTAGAGTAGAAGGTATGTCATGTAATGTAATTGCACTCTGTTACGTAATAAATTCCCTGTTGTGAAAATACAGCAGTCGATCTCGGTATGTTCGAAGAAGAGATGGCAAAATTGGTCTAATGTGTTCCACGGTTTGTTCTTTGTTCGCAAAATGCAATTTGCCGCCATGTGTATACACACATTTTGCCATTCGGTTTTTCGGGTCGCTTTCTAACGAGTTCGGGATTACCAATTAGAGGAAGGAGTTCGATCCTGGAGTAGGTTATCGCCAGTTCTACCACAATAATTATGTTTAGTCTGTTCGCCAAATTCCACTGAAACAAAGTTACGGTTTCCAAATCCCAGTATGTTCGTGAAGGGATTTCACCTTAGGTATATCATCCTCCTGAGATTTTCATTGTGAAATTCCATCCATACAGGGGTCGACTATTTATACATACATTATACAGGGTTATTCCCCAGCGAGCACAAACATCCCTGGGATGTTTTGGGATGTTTTGAAAATGTTGGCATGAAGATGTTATTTTGAGACGTAATATGCACTGACCAAAGAGGTCTTTGAAGGATATTGAAGTATTGTTTTTGTTCTTCTGTGGCATTTCTCTGTTTGCCTACTGAGAGGTATACCTGGGATGTTTTAGAAATGTAGGCATGAGGATGTTTTTTTGAGGCGTAATATGCACTTCCCAAAGAGGTCTTAGAAGGATATTGACAGTATTGTTTTTGTTCTTTTGTGCCCTTTCTTTGTTTGCCCCACCACAACGTCTCATGCTTACGTCACAATACGATGAATTCTGATTTGTTTTCGATTTTGTTCTTCTTGTTCGCAATTGGTATTCGCATTTGCAGCGTGTCACGCTTACATCACGCTGCTAACGAATTAACAGAAAGGAATTTGGTGAAGTTTATTGTGTTAGAAGACTTATTTAGTTTGTAATAATGACCATCAGATGCAAGATGTGTTGTTCGGTGCCTCAGTGTAATCAATATATAAAAGTACGAATTTATCGATACACAGCTTTTCCGCAGTTGCAAATGCATTGTGGAGAACATTTCAAAAATTGGGAAACCTATTTCCAATTATATGTCTGTGTGTAGTAAGCACTACTCAGAAACCGATTAAGAAGGTAATTTCATATCAAGAAAATATTTTTATGTTCAATCTATTTTTAATGCATTTTTTCATTCAAGGGAAATGGAATCCTAATGCAAAAGTACATTTTGACAAAAAGCTTCAGAAAAGTACCTCGAGAATGTTTTTTTTTACAGCGATTTAATGTGCGCAAGACGCGTTGAAAATGTTCTGTTGTTGTGTCCATGAAAAGGCTTTAAAAAGAACTAGGAAGAAGGTAGTTTTGTGACATATCAAGGACATCTCGATAATTGCCGCCTGCGGGGGACATTGGCTGTTCTATAATAGTTCTATTCATGTGTGGACAGAACATCGCAGTGGAGGTTCAATGTCTCGAAATCTCGTACTTTTAACATCTTTGAGATGTTTTTATGCTCGCTGGGTCATTGGGAAATGCGCATCCAGTATAAGGGTAGATTCAGAACACCGATCTGCTTCTGAATAATCTATATTTCATGGGTCTATCATTCTTTACAACCACCCTATTCATGTTTTTGATATTTGGTTTGTTTGTTCTTTG